GTAACCTCTGGGAGTTGGTGATGGACAGGGAGGCCTCGCATGCTGCGGTTCATGGGGTCGCAAAGAGTTGGACACGACTGTGCAACTGAAGTGAACTGAATATACTCTTCTTTCTTAGTCAGTGATATTTTCTGTCAACTTGCCTTTTGTTCCTTCTCGGCTCAAAAATCTTCAAGTGGCTTCCTATTGCCTAGAGAATAACGTTAAAATTCTTTAGTGCCCCTTTGAGAGTCCTTACCAAATGTTCTAAATTTCTGTCAGTTTACTGTTATACATTCTGTAAATAACAAATGCTTGTTGAGTTTCTCTACTACTACACATTTTTTAGCTTCTATGACTTTGATTATTCTATTCTCCTTTCCAGTAAAGCATCTTGCTTTTTTGAAAAGCTATTGATTCTTTAACTCTGCCATCTCCTGCATATGTTGTTCTCTCAAAACAAATATTAAAAATTGTTTGCTGCTACAATGAAAAAAAAAACAATACATTTATTAGCACATGCCCTATATCATAGAGATTGCTTTAATTTTTCTGCAAAGGTTATCTACTCCTAAAAAACAGAGACTGTTTCCTCTTCAACTGTATATTCTTATCACTGTATCTTGTTTTAAAGTGCTCATTTCTTTTAATGCGAAAGACTATCAAGAAAGTCGACCCAGGAATTAATAAATATTGATTGGTGGATTCTATACAATTCATTAGTGATACTTTGTCCCAGAGATTCAGTTAAAGTTCTAAGGGGTATAATCATAAAAAAATTGAGTCATATCGCTTATAAACAATGAAAATGATCATCAATTATAGTATGATGAATTTGAACATTTTCTTAAATTTTGAAAGACGAGGTCTTTTAAAAAGAGATGTTGCCTTTATAAATGAAATGTCTTCTGTTTTTAAGAATTTCATCCAACTTTCAAGCAATGGATACCATGTTTTCAGACAAAAGGGAACATATCAATACTGAAGGTAGAGGGCTCCATCAGTGAAAGGCAAAATTTATGTATTAAATATTGGTCTCTCTATTGACACAAAAAATTTTCAATTTTTGTAGCTCAAGTCAATTATCTCAGTGGTTTTTTCAGTTCATCTGTGGTCATGAATTATTTTCACATAGAATTTATCTAAAATTTTTGTCTGTGATCCAAGTCATCTTATCATTAGTTAAGTATATCACTTCTTTTAAAAAATAATTTAAGTAATTATTTTATAATTTCTTTGGGTTTTTAATATCTCATTTTGACTTTTAAGGTTTTTTAGGACATAATTTTTCCTTGTAATGACTTATAAAACAGATAATGAAATATATTAGAAAAAGGGATCATCTTACTGACTTTTCTATAATACATTTGCAGTTACAAAATGACAAAAAAAAGAATGAGCTGTAAGTCTTGTGAAAAATCTGGATTGCTTTTAACAGAAGAGTTTCTATTGTATATAAATTTTACTAAAAACTGAAGTTCCAATACTCAACTCTCAGTTTTCTTTATTTTTCAATTTACTTACATATTTTTTTCAAGCATAGTTGATTTATAATGTTTTGGTTTTACATGTACAGCAAAGTGATATGTATAAACATATATATATATATACACACACACACAAACATATATTCTTTTTCAGATTCTTTTCCCTATAGATTATTGCAAAACATCAAGCATAGTTATCTGTGCTATAGAGTAAGTCCTTGTTGGTTATCTATTTTATATATATTAATCCCAAACTCCTAATTTATTTCTCCAACCACTTCCTGCTTTAGTAGCCATAAGTTTGTTATCTATGTGTATGGTCTGTTTCTATTTTATATATAAGTTCATCTGTATCATTCTTTTTAAGATTCCATATATGTGATATCATATGATATTTATCTTCTGTCTGGCTTACTTCACTTAATCAATTTTTTTGATAGTAAGCTAACATAGCATCTACTATAGGATATTAAGATAAGGTAGAAATCATGTAATGACTCTGGTTATCCAGGGAAATAACAGAGTAGAAAGAAATTTGTAATTTTTCGAAATTGAGACAAGGTTTTCAAACTAGAAGTTAAATATGTCATTGACAAACTTCTCTGACTCTTAAGTTAAAACTGGGATAAAATATCACAGATCTCAAAGTTTATGAGACTCAGTCACAAGTTGTCCATATGAGCTTGAATTTTCAATACTGATATTGATAATGTTCTATTACTTTTGGTAAGATTTCTAAATAAAGGCAGAACACTCTCTAGTAAATTTTGCACAAGTAATTCTGAACTATTTTATTAAACAGAGATGACAGTTTATGCTTGCTTGCACTTTATGGCTCATCTAAGAATCCATAGATGATCTTCTTGATGTGAAGCATGTATTGGCTACATGCAGGTGATTATTATTTAGGAGGAAAATCTATGTTCTTTGGATCCATCATTAGCATATATATTTTACTGGTATTTCTGAAACCAAACTATGTTATCCAATCTCGGTTTAATTGATTAAGTAACTGATTCATTAAAAATTAATCAATGTATGTCAATAATTGTCCTAGGTATTAAGGATAAAAACATATACAAATATTTAGTATCTTTAAAAGATCTCAGAAGGAATGTACTGCTCTGTCAGGATCTTCAAAGGAAACATGTCACATTCAAATTAAAGTTATTCAATTAATTAATACAGAGGTTAATTCAAAGGGTCAGGCAGAGTTTAGGTAATCCAAACTCTGCATGGAGCTTCGGTGGCTCTGCCACCGTTAGTCCTTAAAGAGAGGAGAGAAAAGTGAAAGTAGCTCAGTAGTGTCCAGCGCTTTGTGACCCCATGGACTGTAGCCTGCCAGGCTCCTCTGTCCATGGAATTCTCCAGGCCAGAATACTGGAGTAGATAGCCTTTCCCTTCCCCAGGGGATTTTCCCAACCCAGGGATTGAATCCAGGTCTCCCTCATTGCAGGCAGATTCTTTACAGTCTCAGCCACCAGGGAAGCCCATGAGAGGAGAGAGTTGCCAAATTTTATTAAAGACAGAGAAAGGGCTGTTGTGGAAGTCCACACCTTTCAGGTGTCAAAATACACCAGACCTCTCAACCCTGTGAAGCACTCCTCATGCACTTCCCTCTGCCACTCAACCTCCAAGACCCAGTGGTTAAAGGTAACCAGAAGCCAGAGGGAAAGGACCACTTTCAAGTGTTTAAGATCAGCCCCAGAGGGCAAGTGAAGGGAGGTGGAGTAAGAATGGGAAAAAAGACATCCAACACAATGATTATATTCAATTCACAGAGGAGGAAGCTAGAAAAGTCATAACTGGTAAATGGCAGAGCCAAAATGCAAAGCCAAGTTTGCCTGATTCCAAAGCTTTTTCTGCCTTGCAGCAATGTTGGAAAAATGCCTTCAGCTCTCAAGGCAGGATTATAAAAAGGCTAAACTGGGGAGAAAAGAACAATGCATGTATCATCAGTATCAAGATGTCAGGTGGGTTTGGCAGCCCTTGGCCATGGCTTTCCTTTGTACCCTATTAAAGAGGAAGGAGGAACCATCAATTCCTTTAATCTGTGAATGAGTTTAGAATTGGGCCTCTGTCCAGGTGAGAATTTTGACAACCTTGAGAAGCATCACTTAAATGTTGCAGCTGTTTATGTCATTGGTTGGTTGAAAGAGCAAATCAGACTTCATGATCCCATACCTTCTCTTTCTGCTACCTTTGTCCTGAAATGTAGTTTTTTGTTTGGCATTTGGGGAAAATTGGTAGAGGCTACCAATACTTTAACTTTGGAATCTTTAGAGTGTTGTTGTTGTTATTGTCTTTGAAGATGCAGGTGATGTGAATTTCATCTCCATTGATGCTTCTATTCCTTTAAATCTAAAATTGTCATAAGAATACAAACTTTGTCAGATGGCAAAATTTTAAATTATCAGAAAGGACTCTAGAAAAGATGAAGCCTGTTCTTTCCTCGCAGGCCTGCATGTGTGGAAATATTCTGTAAAACTCCAGCGTCAGCATCCAAACATTATAAAGGATGCCACTGTGCATTCATAAAACCCCTTACATTCTACTATGGGATCATTTTCTATCGTTGTCACTGTGCTACAAAGGACAGCTTAATAACTCTGGTCTAAACTCTGTGATTACATATACTCAGATGCTAATTTGATATAATTGAGTGTGCTCTTTTGTTGCATTCTACATTCAGTTTATGTTTAATATGTGAAGACTGTATTTAGTGGTGGTTATCAAGAGTGAAGTAAACCCCACAGGTGCTCCGCCCATGCTCAGGCATCTAAGTCACCTTTTCCATTAGCTGCTAATATTGTTAACAGCTGAGGCAGCTGGTACAGGAACAAGAGTTCTGCAGTTCCTTTACTTGGGACAAGATTCATTTAATCCAGATCTGAATACTCTATTTCTATGGCACATCTGTTTGGGTGACACAATGTATGCATTTTTTTTTTTTTAACATCTTAAACGTTTTGAATTTTGTAAGATTTTCTGTAGGAAAAATATTAGTTTTTTTTTAATTTATCAATTCTTAGTCTTCTATATGTATCATTTAATTACTAAATCCCCAAATGCAAGATCCACACATACTTTGTCACTAAAGGTGCAGAGTTTCTTTCTTTTCTTTTTTTGCTGCAAAAAGCTTTGTTGTTTCCATTTGGTCCAAGACTTGAGAGAGGGCTCCAGGATGTTAAAAAGCTGCATAATGGCTGCAGAGAGGGGCTTCAGGCAGCCTTGATGTCTGGTGGGTTCTTCAAAGGCCACTGGTCTCCAGAAGATCCTAGTCGTGCCTTGAGGGTGAGCATCTCGAAGAGATACTCGCCCAACCCAGCCTGGGGACCAGCCAGCCTGCAGAGGTTGGTCAGGTGGTCACCCATCTTCTTGATGAGTTTCACTTCCTCATCTAGGGCGTGGCTCTCCAGTAAATCACAGATGTGGGGGTCTCCGCGGGCAGAAACCAGGCCATGCAGATCCAACAGGGCTTGATTCAGGTTCTTCTCTACAAGAAGGGCGGCTTCCATAGCGTCCTGCTTTTACCCCACTCATCTTGAGATGGCTTCTGCATGTCCAGGAAGAGGGCGCGGCCGGCACGCTGGTTTTGCAGTTTCAGGAGACGCTCCGCACCCTCACGCTTCTCCTTGGCCAATTCGCGAAAAAAGTGACCCACACCCTCCAGAGCCACATCGTGGCGGTCAAAATAGAAGCCCAGAAAGAAGTAGGTGTAGGAGGCCCGCAGTTGCATGTTAACCAGGCGGTTGACGGCGGCCTCCACCTCGGTAGAATAATTCTGAGGAATCTGGCAGCTCATGATTGGTCGGTAATAAGTAGTTAAAAAATGGTGGCTGGTCAGCTGAGTGGCGACTCCGGAGGTTGCGACTGCTGAAGCAAGAGACAGATCCGCCAAGCCGCCGAGCGCACTTCAGGTGCAGAGTTTCTAACTTTGTTCATTCCGAATGAGTCTTTTTTTTTTGAAAGAGAGTTGTACAGTTTCAACTGTATATATGTCTGCATATATACATGATAATGATAAAACTTAATCTATTGCAAGTGAGATGATCATTGTTTGAATGATTCCCTTTCAAGAATATCACCTAGCACTCAGGTTTTGTGTTTGATTTTACAATTTGTCTTTTTTTTTTTAATTATTGATTTTTTTTCTCACAAACATAAGAATATGTTTTTATTAAGTTTTCAACTTGATTATAATATTTTAAAAGGGTTGATAATTATTTATTATATAAATATACATACTCACCCTGCCTGGAAATTTAGGATCCAGTGTCAACACTGTTTCACATAATTTCAAAACAATGAGCTATAATAGATTGTATTATATTTGAAATTAGTTGCTTATATCTAAACAAAAAGGCCCATTTGGGGGTTTTGGTCATGTGACTTATTAATTTAGCCAATTGAATGTGACCAGAATTGGCATCCATTGTGTCTGAGCAGAAGCTTTAAGAACTATTAGTTTATCTCATTTTCTTTCTGCCATGAGAGGGGCAAATCCTATAATGGTGACAGTTCTTTCTGTCTCGGTGACTCCTTCACATGGCTCCTTTCATCCTAGACAAGAAATGAAAGCAAAAATGAAGCAATGATTTCCAAATTAGATGTAATGCAAGCGCACAATCTGTCCATTGTTAACCATGTTTAGTTTGCTTTTCTTTACCACAACATACCTAAAAAAGAGATAACTGATAAAAAATTGGTACCTATAGATAGGATGTAGCCATGGCAAAATTCCTAAAATATGTGGCTTTGGTTTCAGGGCTATAGGGTTAGAAGTGCAGAAACTCTTAAAAGAGACTGGAAAAATGAAGGAACTTTGTGGAGTGGTGGTATATTTGATCAATCTGTCTCATGCAATAACTTGAAAGACAGATAATGTATTAACAAATTTGCAATTTATTTTATTTTATTTTATTTTTTATTTTGTATTCAGGTATAGCCAAATAACGATGTTGCAATAGTTTCAGGTGAACAGTGGACTCAGCCATACATATACATGTATTCATTCTCCCGCAAACTCCCCTCCCATCTAGCCTGCCATATAACATTGAGTAGAGATTCACATGCTAAACAATAGGTCCTTGTTGGTTATTCATTTTAAGTATAGCAATGTGTACATGTCCATCCCAAACTCCCTAACTATCCCTTATCCCTATCTTTACTCCCAATAATCATAACAATTAACTTGCAATTTTAGATGAAGAGGTTGAAAAACAAAGTATGACTGAGTGACTTGGTTGCTTTTAGCAGCATTAAAAAAAGCTACTAAAAGAAAGACATGAGCTTAGAAAACTAAGATATAAAGATAATGAAAGAGATTTGCAGGTTCTAAAGATGCTACAGTTTTATTTTCTTCAACCAGTAAATATAAAATTGATAAATGCTTTGAATAACAAAGACAGGTTTGGTTTAGGGCAAAGATCAGATTAAGAAAGTTAGTGACTTGCTGTAGTTAAACTCCAGCTCCCATTGTTGTTCAGTCATTAAGTCCTGTCCAACTCTTTGCTATCCCATGAACTGCGGCATGCCAGGTATCCCTGTCCTCCACAGTCTCCCAAAGTTTGCTCAAACTCATGTCCATTGAGTCAGTGATGCCACCCAACCATCTCATCCTCTGTTGACCCCTTCTCCTCCTGCCCTCAATCTTTCCCAGCATCAGGGTCTTTCCCAATGTGTTGGCTCTTCGCATCAGGTGGCCAAAGTATTGGAGCTTCAGCATCAGTCCTTCCAATGAGTATTCAGTGTTGATTTCCTTTAGGATTGACTGGTTTAATCTCCTTGCTGTCCAAGGGACTCTCAAGAGTCTTCTCCAGCACCACAATTCAAAAGTATCGATTCTTTGGCACTTGGTCTTCTTTATGATCCAATTCCATAAAGGGATTAAATTGGCTTTCATAAAATCTATCCCTTTGGACCAAGTGGTTTACAGAAAAGACAAAAAACAGCAAATCAACAGGTTCTCTGCTGAAGCTTGATAGTCTCAAGGTATTGACAGTAGTCTAGGGAGAAAAAGGTGCTTGTCATAAGGAATCATACACATCTTTAGTGGAACATGAAGTTTATTAGGATCATATAGATAAAGATTCTAGAGGCTGAAAGAACTCCTTGACTGGACCATAATCCAAAATATAGCAAAACATACCAAAACAAAAATGTGAGAATTAAAGAAAACTTGGTCTCCCAACCATCTATGGGCAAGATACACCTGTTAATACTAGTTAGCCTCTGGAGAGGGTATGCAATTTAATACTTTCTTCAATGGTAAAGCGTCTGCCTGCAGTGCGAGAGACCCAGGTTCGATCCCTGGGTTGGGAAGATCCCCTGGAGAAGGAAATGGCAACCCATTCCAGTACTCTTGCCTGGAAAATTCCATGGACTGAGGAGCCTGGTGGGCTAGAGTCCATGGGGTTGCAAAGAGTCGGACACTACTGAGCGACTTCACTTTCACTTTTCACTTTAGATGTGTCAAAGGAGGTTGAAAAAAAAAAGGATCTCTTTCCACCTTTTTGAGGGAACTGTAACCAAGACAACCTGGTGATATCATCATGCAGGAGAACTGAGGGCTGATCCTGGAAGGTTCCCTACCCCCAGAGTAGGTGACCACTCAAAATGTTGGTGAAATAATTTCAGGCTTCTTATATACCAGTTATTTTATGCTTCCCATTCTCCTTTTCTAACACAATGTTTATTGAGATTAATACATTCCTGTTCTGCTACTAAATTGTTGGTGTGCATGGAAGAAATAACTTGTCTTTGTGGTTCACACAGCTCTAATTTAAGAGAAGTTGCACTTATAATGTAGAGATAAACATGGACCCTAGACTGGAGTCTAATTTCATGGTTGGTTGAGATTTTTTTGAGATGTCTTCTTTGGGGTAGAATGTGTTTATTACATGTGGAGATAGAAAGGAGTGAATGTTTTATAATTAAAAGGGTGAGATATAATAGGTCAGGCTATGGTTTTTCCAGTGGTCATATATGGATGACTATGGACTATAAAAAAAAGCTGAGCACCGAAGAATTGATGCTTTTGAACTGTGGTGTTGGAGAAGACTCTTGAGAGTCCCTTGGACTGCAAGGAGATCCAGCCAGTCCATCCTAAAGGAGATCAGTCCTGAGTGTTCATTGGAGGGACTGATATTGAAGCTGAAACTCCAATACTTTGCCCACCTGATGCAAAGAGCTGACTCATTGGAAAAAACCCTGATGCTGGGAAAGATTGAGGGCAGGAGGAGAAGGGGACGACAGAGGATGAGATGGTTGGATGGCATCATCGACTCGATGGACATAGGTTTGGGTGGACTCTGGGAGCTGGTGATGGACAGGGAGGCCTGGCGTGTTGCAGTTCATGAGTCGGACCTGACTAAGTGACTGAACTGAATTGATATAATAGGTTGTATTATTGTTCCCAATTATTGGCTTCCCATCATAAGTGATTGTGATATCTTCCTATTGCCATATGAGTGAAGGTGAATGTCCTTGGGTGGCATTTCTGTCCTTCATCCACTGATATGAGACACAGCCATCTGATTTAATCTGGTCAATGGGATAAAGGCTGAAATGCTGACTCCATATCTGAGTGGAGCCTTTAAGTGAATAGACTCTCTCTTTTCCTTCTGCCATAGGAGCAGTATGTCTCAGGTGCAGCTGCTTCTGCAGCCTCAATCCTGTAACGTAGACATGAGAAACAAAGTAGGGCCACATCTGGCACCTAGCCAATATGTAACTGGAGTTAAGCAGTAGATTTTGGTTACTTTAAAGGTGCTGAGCTTCAAAGGGATCACGTTGGAAAAGCTGAGTGTTATGTGAATATTTTAAACTCTCTCTTTTTTTTTCCTTTCCCAGTTGTTTGACAAGGGTGTAAAAGGATAACAAAGGCATTTGCCACTGAGATATTAAGGAAAACAGCTAGGTATTACCAGCAATAGTTTGGATGCATGATAAGGCCAAGTAATAAAAAAGAGGTAAACTCAAGATATAGCCAACGGTTTCTTAATTCCACAATATAAGACACATGGGAGAATGTTTAAGTGTAGTCCCAAAGCAAAGCTTTCATTCTTTAAACTTTTATACAACACTCACTGCCATCAGTATTAATGAACACACCTATTATTGTATTAAAGCACAACCATTTTCTTGACCAGGGGATGGATTCTTTCACTATCATCTGTTTTCTCCAAAACAGTCTCAGCTAATGTTAAGATACCCTTGCTTTATGAGTTATCCACACAATTCATCTTTTGGCATTTCAAAAGCTCATGGATTTTGCAAAGCAGCCTTTTATTTTCACCTTTTGATAATGCAGCTCATAATGAGGTTAGCTCATCTACCATACTGAACTTGACACAAAGAAAACCTGGATAAAATATTGGTCATCAAATCTAAGATTCAGATTGTACTATTGCAACATTACACAAGAATGCACATTAGGAAAAATTGTCAGAGGCTTTTAAGGTGTCAGAAAGGGCAAGATCTGCATGGATAAATTATGAGAATTTTTTCCCTTTATTCTATTATGCCAAAAATACTACCACCAGTCTGGTCTTCTGTATTGTTGAGCCTGAGCCTTTGAAATAATAAACCCTCAAACTTTCTAAAGCATTTTCCTATTTATATTGGTTTTATGTTCATATATTTATGTTTCTGGGCAATCTTAATTCATTCACAGTTCCATCTCAGGTTTCTGTACATTGTGATACCAGTCCTGTGCTGGACTATTCAGCAAGTATATTTATGAAATTTTTACAGAAATTCAAATTTAATGTAAATAACATCATTTCATTGTTCTATTATTTG